CCAGGCTTTCATCACTTAATGCCTAGATCACTTCAATAGACATAGAGCTTATTTTGCTGGCTCCCAGGCTTGGCCCTAACAATGCCCAATGCATCCAATCACTCACTGCCAGGAGAAGAACCTTTCAAAATCATTGCTTTCAAATTCCTCTGCCTGGCTTTTAAGGCCTTCTGCTTCTACCCTACCTACTCTGGCATTTATCACCGATTCCAAGAGTCCTTCCTCTGCTCTAGGCTGGGACCACAACAAGCATTATATAATGCCTGCTACATACCAGGCACTGTGCTAAGTGATTTACAAATATTACCCTTTTTGAAACTCACAACCACCCCAGGAAGTAGTTGCTAGTGTTATCTTCATTTGACAGCTGAGGAAACTGAGGCAAACAGAGGTTAAGTGGCTTCCCAAGGGTCATGTACTAGTAAGCATCTGAGTTCAGATTAGAACTCAGGTCTTCCTGATTGCAGGCCCAGAGCTGTATCCACTGAGCCTCCTTGCTGCTGAAAAGACTTTGAGAAGGGCACATAGCTAGTAAATGTCTAAGGCAGGATTGAAACTTCAAGTCAACTGCCTATTAGCCATTTTGAACTGGATGTTCCATAACCCTTATAAACTCATGCCTAAAATTGTACTCTTTACCCCCAAACCCTCCCTTCTTCCTAACTTTCCTATTATTGTTGAGGATGTGCCCATCTTCCCAGGCTCCCAGGCTTCCAACCTAGGGTGTAATATTCAACATCTCACTCCCTCATTCCAAATATCGAATTGTCAAGTCCTGGCTTTTCCACTTTCATAATATCTCTTATTATATCTCCTTTGAAACCATCACCAGCCTAGCGTGGGTCCTCATCACCCCACACCTGGACTACTGCCACAGCCTGCTGGGTTACCTCCCTACCTCAAGTTTCTCCCCAATTCAATCCATCCTCCCTTCCATTATCAAAATGATCTTCTTTAAGAATAGATCTGACCATATCACCTCTCTGTTCAATAAATTCTAGTGGTTCTCCATCACCTCCAGGGTGTAATAGAACATATTTGGCTTTCAATCCTTCATTACCCTTCCAACCAGTTCAGCCTCTTTATACCTTACATTCTCTGTGACCTAAAGACACTGGCCTCCTGACTGCTCCATGTACAAGATATTCCACCTCCAAATTCCACATATTTTTACCGGCTGTTCCCATGCTTGGAATTCTTTCTCCTCATGTCAATCTCATAGTTTCTTTGGCTTCCCAGTTTCAGCTAATGTCCGACCTTCTGTAAGAACCCTTTCTGAGTCTAGCTAAATGTTAATGCCTTCCCTCTGAGATTATCCCTAATTCTACATAGTTGTTTCCATGTTGTTTCCTCCCTTAGACTGGAAGCTCCTTGAAGGCAGGGATTATCTTTTGCCATTCTTTGTATCCTGGGTACTTAACACAGTGCCTGGCCCTTAGTGTTTAACAAAAGCTTGTTGACTGATTGACTTTAAGCCTAGAGTGCTATGCATTCTGGACACCAGCAGCACATGTGAGAATGATGGTAGTCACTGCAGAAGCAAAGATAAATGGGGCATAGTACCTGCTTTCTAGGAGTCTAAATTTGGCCAGAGAGGGATATGATATATGTACAAATAAGTATTACAAAGTAGGGAGCGATGAAGGCAAAAGCATGATCTAAAATGTTGGAGGGATATTTGAAGAGTAAAGGAATCTCTTTAATTGGATGAATCTGGAAAGGCTACATGGAGTAGGTGGGATAGACTTGGGTAAATGCTCAGGCATGGGGGATGGACTGGGTAAATGCTCAGAGGTCATGGCCTGTTGAGTTCATGGAACAGCTGGTAGTCTGGAATGTAATGAAGAGAGCATGAAGAGAAATAATGTAAAATGAAGCTAAAAGAGTAAGTAGGACCTAGACTCTAGAGAGTTTTCAGTGCTAAATCAAAAAATTTGCCATTTTCATGTGAAGGCAGTAGAGAGCCAGTGAAGACTCTTCAGTGGAAGAGTGGCAACCTGGATTACAAATAAGGTCACACAGTCAGAATGATGAGTCACAGAGGTTCTTTACTGGAAGCTTTGCAAAGGATAAGACCACAGAGAGATGAAGCCAGAGGAAGGGCAAATTCTTATGGAATGGACATGTAAATTCTTTTGTTTTGTTTTGTATTTTGGAGGCAATCCGGGTTAAGTGACTTGCCCAGGGTCACACAGCTAGTAAGTGTCTGAGGTAGGATTTGAACTTGGTTCCTCCTGGTGCTCTATAGACATGTAATTTCTTATTGAAACAAGCTCTCATTTCTCTGTCTGTGTCCTCTGTCCTTTCCCAATTCAACTGCTAAGCAAATCCAGATGCTTCAATATCCTGGTTTCTGGGCTGGGCCCAACAGTGGATATGCCTACTGTAAGTGACGTTATGGCTCTAATTCAGGACAACTTTGATTAGCTTTTGTTTCTTCCTTCATCGTCTTTTACAAGGATAGCTCTGAATCAGCTATCAAATACCTTTCCTTTCAAATGGCTTTAAAGCCAAAGCACCTTCCCAGGGTGAGTTATATTATCTGGACCTGGCACGGAAGGTTTGTAGCTCTCTGTGTTTACATGGAATCTTTCATGAGGAAATTTCAAAGGTAGGCAAAGTGACAGGTTCAATATAATCAGAATAGAAATCCAGCAGCAACAGAATATTTCTTACCTCTAACATGCCTGTATTTTGACATGTTAGTTAGTATCTCAGCACTGGAGCAAGATGGACCTTGGAATCCGTTTAATGAAATATCAATATTTTTTCTTCTCCCTTGTAGATAGTGAAACTCATTGACATCTGCTTGTTACACAAATAACAAGCTCCCATTTCCAGAACATCAAACACAGACGGACGGTGCAGAGGACGAGAAGGGGGGAGGAGTAGCTTATCAATATGTAAAGAACTATTTTGACATTAACTATCAGGAGAATTTTGGCACATTTTGTGTTTAGCAGCAATGACTGTGAGGTTGATTAGGGCTATTTGCCTAAAATGCATGTCTGTGACAGTAGCTCTTTGAAAATGGACTCCCCCAAAATCAGATCTAGCATTTTAAAAGCCATAACCAAATGACAAGATGCAAATGGGAATAGATCTGGAAATATGTGGGTTAACATACTCATTAGCCATCTCTGGTGAAATCATATTAAATCCAGGATTTGAATTAAAATGCCAAGCAAGCACGGACTAAAAGACTGGCTATAAGACTAACTTAACTAGTTCACATGCCAAATGAAAGATTTCCCTGAAAAGGTCCTGAAGATCTACTTATGATTCTTGGTTCTTGGGTGCCTTGGAATTTCCCCTGCCTCTGGTGTAACAGTGAATATATTCCATTAATCCCTGAGAGGGAATTCTCATTGATTCATTCATTCACTCATTCATTTACATATTCACTCATTCATTCATTCAACAGGTATTTGTTGATCATATTCTCAATACTCAGAGTGCTAATAGCTAGTATTTCTAGAGTTCTTTAAATATTTGCAGAGTGTCTTTACATATATCAGTATAACAATGTATAATAATTTGTTCATCCATGGCCTGTGCCCTCAAGAAACTTATAATTTCTCTAGAGAGATGTCTAGTACAAGAAAAATTAATGAACAGACATGGAAAAAGCAGTACCTGGAGAACAGAGGCTTAGGACTGTAAGCCTGGTTTTGCCCCAGGCACATCATTGCCCCTCTCTCAGTTTACCTGTTTGCTAAATAAGGGCACCGAGACTCAAATGATCTTTTCTAGTTCTGTCATTCTATGTGCATCTAAATTTTCATATTCGAGCATTCTCTGTTCTGGAGTCCCTCCTAGCTTGGGCATTTTTTGTATTCTAAGGTTATTTCCATGTCCTAAGGCCCCCTCCAATTCTAATGTTCTCTGCTTCTACAATATAAAGTATACAAGATATATAATTATCATGTGGTATAATCTGTAAGGATTTTAGGTATTCAGAGTAGAAGGGAAAGCAAGTCCGTTCTACTCTTCCTTCATATTGCATTATTCAACCATTCCCTCTTCATTTCCAATGCAATTCTTCTAGCTAAATATTTTTCACGTCATTCCTCAATCGTTAAAGAGGTTTTTGGAATATTCCCAAGTTTTCTTTTAATTCAATTCAATTCAATAAACACCGAGTGTTTACTATGTACAAAACATTGTGCTAGAAGCTAGGGATACAAAGACACAAATGGAACCATCGTTTCCTTTGGGAAACTGACATCCTCTTAGGGGGGACATCACATTCCATAACCAAATTAATTGTCCTAAAACACCACTTTTGCATCATTCTTCCACTAAAAATTTCCTAATGGCTACCAACAAAATTCAAACTCCTTAGCCTAAACATTTAATATCCTTTTTTCTCCTAATTATTTTTATACCTAATTCATTCCAACCTTAGCCTGCTCCTAATTCATTTTACTCAAGGTCATAGGATTTAAAGTTGGAGGGAACCTTAGGGATCACTTTGTCCAGTCTCCTCTGTTAGGGATCTGTAGGACATTGAGGACCACAGGCTGTTCATGAGACTTCACTGATGGGTGAAGGCCCCTCTCGGGTGTTAGTACATGAGCAGAATATCCTGGCTTGGTTCTCCGTCCACGGACCTGGCACCTCCCAGTCAGCAAAACTCTGATGCTAGGCAAACTCAAACCATAAAACAATGCTGCTAGCTCAAGCACGGTCAGCTCTAGCACAAAAATATATCCAGTATTGCTAACCTATGTAGCAAGTATTACTAGTTCATGTATCAAGTATTGGGAACATTCCGGGAACGAGAAGTACATGGTGTTTTACGGGAACAGCCCGGGAGAAGGACACAGTCAGGATAATGTTGCAAAGAAATGTACTTGTTGATACTTTGATTGGTATTTGCATGGGAAAAATTCTCGGTATTGCCTAGTGGTAAAGATACGTAAACTTTGTTGCTTTATTCACTGTTACATTGGGGTATGTTCCCATGAGTCAAAGATACAAAACGCTGAAGGCAGAGCCAGCGGGTTAGGTGCTTACTCGCTTGAGCTAACGGCTGAATAAATCATTTGAAACTACAACTCTCTGTCGACTCCACTCCTTCGTTAACCGGGACGCCCAAAGACTGCAGGTGAGTATGACCCAGGCAGCCCTCCTCGAGTAACGAGAAAGTTACACTCCTACTTTTAATGATGAGGAAACTGAGGACCAGATAGTCACCTGCCCAATAAGTGTAAGAACATAGGTTTAAAACCTAGGATCTCAGATTCCAAATCTAGTACTCTTTCAAACATACCATGTTGGGTCCCTTATCACCCACCACACTAAATAGACTTGTCTACTTTCTCAGGGATTATTTTCTCTTTTAGTATCTTCATAATATTTACCTGCCTGAAAGACTCTCTCCTACTTTCTCTGCCTATGAGAATCTTATTTATCCTTCAAGATCCATCTCAGAGACTGACTCTCACATGAAGCCTCTCATGACACCCCTGTAAATTTTATTGTCTATGTTACTTATTGGGTACTTAACTCTCATCTTGGCTTTATGTTTTTGTCTGTGCCTTGATGCTTAAAAGCTTAAAGTAGATTTAGAGCTTCTTGAAGGCAAGAGAACTGTGTTTCATACTTTCTGTATCATCTGAAATACTTAGAACAGAGCTCTTCACATATTAAAAAAATGCACCTCACATTTCTGTTGTGCTTTAAGCATTTTCTTAAGAAAAAACCTGAAAGGTAGGTAATGCATATTTTATTGCTCCCATTTTGCTGATGGGTTTCAAAAAGGTGAAAGACTTTACCTTTCAGAGCTGTAGCATGCTGAAGATATGCTACCACTGGATCTCAGCAAAGCATTGGACAAAATTCTATCCTTGCATAACATGGAGAAACACGGGCTAGACAGTGCTAATAGTTAAAAGGATTCAAAACTGGTTTGATATCTTGATCCTAAGAGCAGTCATTAAGAGGTGAATATCAGTGTGGAACCAGGCTTCTACTGAAGTGTCCTTGGGATCTGTCCTTGACCCTGTATACTCAGAAATTTTAACTGTGACCCAGATGAAGACAGAGATGGTAAAGCTGAGAAATCTATAGATGACATAAAGCTGGGGCAGACAACTAGTATGTTGGATTGACGGGGTCATGATTCAGAAGTATTTCAGTAGGTTAGAATGATGGGCCAAATGTAGTAAGATGGAACTTAATGTTAACCATTAATTGAATTTAAAGAAATTAACTGCATTACATTCTTATGCCATAATTATTGTGCTAAAATGAGGAAATAGATGATTTCAAAAAAAGGCATTGAAAGACTAATTATAAATTGTAGAAGAGAACAGTTTATATTATGAGATCAATATCATAAAGATGAACCATTTTGAGAACTTTTATAAACCGATGAAGGATAAAATGAGTAGAACCAGGAGACCATTTTGTACAAAAACAAAAACACGGCTTTGGAAGTTGTAAGAGCTCTGATTAATGCAATGACCATTCATGATTCCAGAGGATGGATGGTGAAGCATGCCCTCCATTACAGAGAGATGATGGAATTAGAGTACAGACTGAGACACATATTTTTGCATACAGCCACTGAAGAAATTTCCTTTGCTTGACTATAATTATATGTTAAAAGAAATTTGTTTTTCTTTCCCTTTTTTTGCCTTTTAATGCAGAGTAGATAGCAAGAAAGAGAGAAAATAGATTTTTGAAAACAGAGAGGTGGGGGAATAATACAGGTGTGAAATGTGTGTATTTTCAGATAATATCACTGTGGCATTAGTTTTACTTAATTTTTAAAAATTTTGTTATGAGAAATGCCTCAGGAAGTGGGTTTGTTGTTGTTTCTAGGTGTATCTGACTCTTCATGACTCTTTTTGGGGTCTTCTTGGCAAAGATACTTCTTGGCCATTTCCTTCTCCAGCTCATCTTCCAGATGAGGAAACTGAAGCAAACAGGGTTAAGTGACTTGCCCAGGGTCATACAGGCCAGATTTGAATTCACAAAGATGAATCTTCTTTAGGCCTGACACTCTATGCACTATGGTGCCACCTAGCCATCCCCTCAGGAAGTGGGAGTAGTTTGGAAATGTTTGCAATATAAAATCAAAAGTAAACACAAAAACAGTAATTAATAAAAGCACAACAGCACAATGGGAGAAGCATGATTAGACTTGTGTTCAGTTCTGGACATTTTGGAAGGACACTGACAAACTGAAACTTAATTGGAACGTAACAGGACTGAGGAAAGAACTGAAAACCATGCCACATAATCAACATGTGATCAAATCAGGCATCACTCAATAATTTAGTAATTCATGAGATTACAGGCCCATGATAGTGCTGGAATTGACCTTTAAGGCCATTTAGTCCAACATTTTATTTTAAATTTAAGAAAAATTACAGGTGAGAGGTGTTCAATGACTGATTTAAGGCCACATAGTCAGAGAAAGTATTTGAATCCAGGTTCTCTGATTGCATATCTGACGTTCTTTCTGCCATTTTGGAGCAATCATGAAGATGGTCCTGTGAACTGCATGACCAGCTTTCCCAGGTCCCTGACACTTTTAGGGTACCTGGTATGCAACAATTCACAACTGAATCTCTTGGACATAGGCTCTGCATTCACTGGGCATTTACAGATATGTAGTTTTCCGTATAGCAGGTTAAAAATTAAGAATTTTCAAAGTGACTAAAAGTTTAATGTTTTTTCTTCAGTCATTATCAGTCTCATCCAGCTCTTTGTGATCCCATTTGGAGTTTTCTTGGCAAAAATACTGGAGTGGTTTGCCATTTCCTTCTTTAGCTTATTTGCCAGATGAGGAAACTGAGATAAAGAAGGTTCAGTGCCTTGCCTAGAATCAGACAGCTATTAAGTGTCTGAGGTCAAATTTGAACTCAGGTTTTCCTGGCTCCACGCCCAGTCCTTTGTCCACTGTGCCACCTAGCTGCTCCAAAGTTTAACATATGTATTTAATTAAAAATTTCCCCCCAACAAACTCCTTGTTTTTTTTCTTTTTCCCCCCTCCATGTCCCATAGAGGTGCTGGTGATAATTCAATTCAGTTTAATTCAATTCAGACAGTTTTTCTTCAGTGCCTAGTGCTGGGGAAAACAAAGCTCCTTCCCTAAAATAGGGGAAAATTCCATTCAAACTGATTTAACAGGATTAATTAAGCACCTACTGTATTTCAGATACTATGTCTAGTATATAAAGGATCTTAGGACGAACTAATAGCACTTGCCCTCAGGACTTTACATTTTCTTGTATCTCAGAAAAGTTTATTCCAAAAGAGTTTTATTAAACTGGTCTAATTCCTGAATATTTTGCCTAATTGGCAAATAAACTTCTGTATGATCCATTATGTAACTGTGAGTCATCAGAAAGACACAAAGTAGTGACATTCATGCTTTCCCAAGGACACGTTCAAATTTCTTTTTCTATTCATATAGCTTGGGCCCTCACTGAGCTATTAAAATTCACAGCCCCCTGCAGAAGAGCCTGGGAAGAAGGTTATTGATGTTTTTGGGAGAATTAAAGGATCGTTCTTGGATAGAGAAAACTTCCCTAAGAGAAAACCATCTTATCTGCATATAAAATAATGAAATAATGTAATTGTTCTAAATATGGCTGCACTAAGAGTCTGTTTTAAATGATAAGGCAAAAGCATCCAAATCTTCACGAAGCTGAAACGCCTGAAATTTGACAAGAAAAATGATGTTTGGGCTTTAGTCAAAGATAAGCTGTAAGACAACTTTCCATGGATTTAGATAAGGCTATGGAGTTAGCTGAGAAGCTTGGATGTTTGCAGGCTTACAGAAAAAGGGCATTTGTCAGCATAAAGCAATGCCAGGTGAGTTGGCAGAGGTGATGGACATGCAAGGAACTGATCACTTCCAAGGCATACTGAAAGTTCGTAGGCATTTTCAATTATGTTGTGGACAATGCAATTTCAAGGTTAAAGGGAAATCCATTTATCCTGTGGAATTGGCAATGGGTCTTTCTCCCTCTTCAGATTTGATCTCTTACTGCAGGGCTGAGAGCTGTTTCTTTATTGTTGCGTTTTTAAAAATAAGAAGCAAAATTTACTTTTAGCCAGGTCTTGGTTTTATGTTTGAAGACCTCAAAATAAGAAAAGAGCTTTTATGTAAAGTGCCTGATCCAATTACTATGAAATTACATTCTTTCGATTTGATTTAGGTAAACAGTTTCTTCAAACCCCTTTATGATGTTGGCTAAAATGTGAAAAATGTATAAAGTATTGAATATGGCAACTGTTTATCCATCTGTTTGCTATTTCAGTTTTGTTCACTGATTCTCATTCATTCAACAAGCCTTTTAAAAGCATTTATAGTAAGGCTTTGTGGTCTTTTTAGTTGTTTGGCTACCTGGGGAAATAGAGACTAATTCTGAGAATTTTTGAAAAAAATTCATAATTGATGGAAATGCTAAATTTCCACGAGATGTTGATGAAAATAAAGATGTAATTATTTTCCCCATCCAAGTTCAAAGACCTCTAGAAATCCATTCACATGCCCTGAGGGTCCATGGATGTCAGGTTAAGAACCCTAAATTTACTATGTTCAAGAGAGCAAGGCCATAAATACAGTGTATGGTAGAAAGTGCAATGGTCAGGAGAGATATGGGTTCCAATCTGATCCCTGAAAATTACTAGCCATGTGACCATGGATAACGCATTCAATCTCTGGATCTCTGATTTCTCAGTTGTAAAATGGAGGGGTGGGATTAGATGATCTCTGGGATTCTTTTGCAGCTTAAAATTTCTGATTTGGGGAACAAAGGCACAGTAATCCTATTACTCTTATGGGAAGCCTAGTTTTGGAAATATGTCAACTTAGGTTTGTCTAAGTTTTAAAAAGTAAAACTTCAAGTTTTTCATCACAAATAAACTATTCTCTAAAGTCTCATCCATTTGTCAGCAACTCCCTCATTAAACTTTCTTAACCTTGAAGAGCTGAAATATGTCTGAAAAAGCCTCTTTAAAATCTTCGATAAAAAATAACCTGGGTATTTTATATGTAAAACTTCTTTCCTTCCCTCCAAAGCACTTTCCTTAAAAACATTTCAAAATGTCAGCTTAACCTTAGAAAATAAAGAAATCTGTCTGGAA